ACCCGACCCAAACCCATCGGTTCTGGATTCGGGTATTTAATTTATGAAGAACCGCTCGATTCGATTCGGTTCGGTTCGATCCGGTTCGGTTCGAGGCTTTTGGACACCTCTAATACGGAGGTACGTTTCCACTAAGCTGAAGGGCCAGATTCAAGGCCCTAGTCAAGTTTTCTACCTAAATTTTCTTGCGTTCTTCTTCTGGCCAGCAGTGTCAGGTGTTCGATTATCCAGCTTCCGCTTTATTCCAACTTGTTTCGGAGCATTAGCAGCCCGTTGTGCTTTTAGCTTTCTAGCAGCCACTGCTGGTCTTTTGCCCTTAACTGACTTCTCCATAGATGATCCAGATTTTGACTTTGCTGGTGCATTGACTCTTGCAGGGGCCTTCTTCTGGGTGCCAGATTTGCTTGCCCGCATGCCCTGGTAAGACATATTGGCCTTAGCTTTCACCTTATCATCACTACCCGAATATCTGGAATCAACTGCAAACTTCTTGGCAGGGGTATTGTAGGTCTCTGGTAGCAAAATATTCTCTCTCTTCGAGGGAGTGGAATTTGATTTGGCATGAGACAGTCTCAGTTCACGGTCCCTAAGCTTCAAATTATGTTTCTTAACTATTGAGTTAGCAGCATCCTGCATTTTCCAACAGAAAAAAATTCCAAAATATTATTTCAATTGAAAGTACAAGTAATTAAAAGACACTATTATCTCTCAAGCAAAGCGGTAGTCATGCAACTCTTTCATCTTGACAGGCTAGACACGTTCAGACATTTCATCAGTTTGTGTAGAAATGATTACATAAACAGAACTTGTAAAATCAATTCCTTCAGCTCACCTTTGAGCTAATTTGGCTTTTCTATGGAGTTTATCTAACTCGTACATCACAAACCACGCAGAAATTGCAGTAACTAACAATCAGGGAGCGACCTTGTAATAGGAAAGATTCTCAATAAAATATAATTACCACTTTACGTCGACTCATTTTTAAAGAGGATATCACCATCCGATTCACATTAATGCACAAATATTTTACCCAACCAAGCAAGCTACAAACTGTTCATATTTAGATTTATGGTATAATATAAATCAAATAAATATATAAATAAGGTAATATAATACACCTTATAACATCACGTAAATACACCTATTAAAACCAATTGTAAATGCTCTAAAACTTACAAGTTTATAAGATGAGGACATGCGTATAAAGTGCGCTCTAGGGACATTGATTTACAAAAAGTTAGTTCACAATACAAGTATCTGGCAAAAACATATGAGCAACAATAATACATATTCCATATAGTTTGAGTCCAAAACAAACAATGATCCTTGAGCATGATTAATAACCAAATTCCAATTGAAATAATATCTTTAGAATATCCAAGCAATTCAAGCGGAATAAACTGAGTTTTTGGACTTGTTTTGGGTGTTTCTGAACAGATTTGTGCTTCAGAAGAGGAAAGATAGGACTTTATCCAGGCAAGGGTTAGGCCAATCAACACAACATAAAGCCAAATTCTTGCAATGATCAATACTAGAACAAATAGATTACACATGCATTCATGGCCTAATAAGAACTTCCCCGATGTAGGGAAGCTTTTGACAAATCATTCCAAAACAAATACTAAATACATATATCCATTATTTTTGAAGTAAAAGTTCAGTAAAATTGCACCTAAGAGGTTCAAGCCCACGTGTAAAGTAACACAAAAGAATCGTAGATTATTTCCTTTCATTTGGTAAGTATAGCTCATCATCCCTGTCTAGACATAATTGTATATTCTCTAGTAAATTAGACAAAGACACAAGAAGAAAGGTACAAAGAAAGGACCGATGGGCATTATCACCCTAACCTAGTTTGAAATGATGGCCTTCCTAAGCATGGTTGTAAAGGTCCCAGTGAGGAGCGCCTCACTACTGTGCCTCGAGGCGGTAATTATAGAACCTTTTCAATAAGGCAGGTGCCTCATTGAATGAGGTTCACACCACAATACACGAACATCAAGGTGAGTGAAGCGTGCGCCTCAGTTTTGTTGTGACCTTTGACTTTTTTTTCCCTCTTTTGCGAGTCTAAGCCCCCGTTTGACAACCATTATTTCAAAATTATTTAATGCCCATACTCATTTTTAACCACAAATTTACACAATAAAATATTTTACACGTAAACCCAAAACTTTTCCCACTTTTTAATCACACATAAACCCAATCTTTTCTTTTTAAATGTGCTTATTTTCTCTTTAGTAAGTCTAAGCATGAGCTCCGTATTGAATTTTTGCTAATTGCAACTTTATTGATTTATTTGTGTGTTAATTCTATGGAGAATAATTAAGATTCTCTATGTTTGATTTCCGTATTTTTTATAATTTCTTGACTTAATTTTTTGGTTTGTAAGCCTCATCTCACGAAGGAAAAACGATTCAGTATCTATTTCTTCCTACTTAAACATTGATAAGAAGTTTAGAGTAAAATGAAGATCACATAATATTTTATCGGCAAGATTTCATAGTAACATAATGCACCACATGATTTCTCTAAATATATTAATATCATAGAGATAAGCTCATATAGCTTTTTAATTTCCATGTGATTGGTTTGGGCATTCAAATTTTAACAGCTTATTGGAATGCATCATATCTCACAAGTTTCTGCTTATTGTTTTAGTAGAAGTACTACATAGATGCATAATATGAAGATTTTACATTTAGTTATAACAATTTTGAAATTACTAATGTTGAAAACAGCCTTCAAACAAGAACAACAAGTGCAGGAACAGACAGAAGACAAGGTCATGCCTTAGGGAAGTTTAACTTTAGTTCATGGAAATTCCATGGCCTCTGCAATGAAAATAAATGTCAGGCAGGAGCAGAATATCTAGACAAGCCAAATGCCTCAAAGTAAAACACATATAAGTGGTTCAGTTTACTAGTTATACCCTTGTTTTAAACAAGACATATGCAATCCCTTTCCCCAAGCTTGTGCCAGGATCTCTAACAACCCGAACAGCTTCAACGCTAGCTTCAAGATTTTTTATACCACTTAATAACTGATAAATCTCTTCATCCTGGAGCAAAGTGCACAAGTGTCGACATAACAATACTGAAAAAGAAGAGCCAAGCAGCAGCAGAGTTTGAAAAGATTCAAAACTTACCTTCACGTCAAACGGGAGGTTTCCTACAAAAACAGTCCTCTTATTATCATACAGGGGAGAACTATCTCCCTTCAGTTTCTTTCGTGGTGGGCATGCCCTGTCAACACGAATATGATTTCCCCCAACCTGCACTCATGCACAGAACTCAAGTCATATAGTTATCTTCAATGTAAGCAAAAAAGACGAATCAGGGAAAAAGGAAACCTACAACAGCCATATTATGGGCCAATGATGCTTGAGCACAGTCCTCCGTTTTAAAAACAACATAAGCATGAACACTGCACAGTCAACAAATTGTGAGGAAGATATTTGAATGAAAGAAGTGAAGAACACTTCTATATGAGCAAAATATGTTGCTCACGAACTAAGAGATCACAGAATTGTTAAGCAAGGATTCTGGTCCACAAAAACGCAAAAGAGATAATTAAAAAAAAAACCCACGAGTATATGCAACGGCAGACTCTAACTGGAGGTATCCATCATCTAATTCAACTGGTTTGAAGCATCTTTTTAATAAGAAAAAGATGACTCAGAACAGGTTTCTTATTATTAAACTCCCAATGTTTCTCTTAAGAGAGTGTGCACGTACTTCTACAAACCAGTTAGATACATTCTTCTACGAATGCCCAATCTTGACAGCTTAATAAATAGTCCCAACAGCTGATACATAAGTGAACATTTCATGGTGAATTATGTGCAAGCGTGGGTAGAGTTATCTATTTATAGAACACTTTCATAGCAAAACGTCAATTATAATATCCTCAAGACCTCAACCAGTTAAACCACCGGAGTCAGATAAAACAACCAAAAGGAAAAGAAGTTCCATTCAGTATCAAACCTGTCCGCATTTTCATTTATTTGCTTCTTGATTACAGCACCCTTCCTTGGTACTTTGCTCTGCAAGAGAAAGTTGATTACTGTTCATGTCTATTTACAAGAAGATACAAAAGATTACCAACAATAAGACATGGACAAGCAAGAAAGACCTACATCAATTATTGGAACAGACCGAATCCTCACAGACTCGACTTCGCCAAACTTTGCAAACTCCTTGAGTAGTGCCTTTTTCTTCATCTGCAATGGCAAATTGCCAACAAACACAGTCCTTAAAAGCTTATTTTCGTCATCAAAACCTTCCTTTGATACCATCATATCCTCTGGATTGTTAATTTTCTTTCTCTTCTCTCCTACCACATCATTCTCCTTCTCCTGCTTATCTGCCTCCCCATATCGACTAGCCTCATACTCCAATTCCAACTCATCCCTCTTCCGTTTCTTCTTCTTATTTTTATTTCCAATACCTGAGCCTCCATCTTTCCCATAGCCCATAATATGAGCTTTTACTTCTACAAGATTTCCCTTTGAATCCAAACGTGAATTTCTCTTCTTTTTCACATCCAGTCCATCACTAGACCGATTTTCTCCTTAATGA